CTTATCTTTATTTTTCTCTTTCTTTTTAGCCAATTCTTTAGAGGGTTTTGAAATAAATTTCTTTTCAAAAGGTTTTTCTTCCTCCATGTAGTCTTTCTTAAGATATCTAGAGTGAGAGCTTTCTCTTTTAGAAGATTTTCTCAATATTTGTTGTTTTAACCTTACACAAAGTTGGACCAAGTCATTTAGGTCCCTGTACGGTAGTAGCTCCACTTGGTCTCTAATCTCTAAGTTAAGACCACTCATGAATCTGGCTACTGTAGTGGCTTCCTCTTCTCTAATACATGCCCTCATCATGTATAACTCCATTTATTGCCTATATTGTTCAACAATCATATATTTTTGTTGGAGCCTTTGGAACTTATTCATAAGCTCCCTGCCATAGTAAGAGGGAATGTGTCTCCTCCTCAATGCACTCCTAAGATCATTCCAATATTGGATAGGAGGATCATTGTGGAGACGCCTTTTTCTTTCCAAAGAGGTCCACCAATACATTGGATGCCCTTGAAAGCTAAGGGTTGCAAGTGGAACTTTCCTTTCTTCACTTACCCTATGGCAAGCAAAGAGTTGTTCTACCTTCATCTCCCAATCAAGGTGGGCCTCCACATCCTTCCCTAAAAATTGAGGGAGATCCACCTTGGATTCCCTAGGTTTAATAGTTCTTCTAGGGGAAGGCTGATAATGGTTACCCACGTTAAGGCTTTCATTACGATATGTGTATTGGGAGTGTGAGCTCCTACTTTTTTTTTTCTATATTTTTTCATATCTTCTTTCAATTTTTCTTCTTCTTGTCTTAAAATTCTCAATTCTTCCTCAAGGTAAGCAAGTTGTCCTTCTCTTTCAATTTTATCTCTTTCTCTTTGAAGAGACTCTTGCTTTTTCCATAGTTTAAGTGATTTGAGCTCTTTTGTAATATATGAAAGACTTTTTGGAGAGCCATCACTTTCACTATGGGAGGATTCTTGAGACATTTTAAGACAAAAAGTTTTTTCACACAAAAATAGTTTTTAAGAAAATAATATTTTTGGGAAGTGCTTAGACTTGGCACTTGGAGGTCTAAGAGTACAAATTGAACTTTGGAGGGAGGTGAGCTACTAAAGAGCCACTTAATAACCAAGCCTCTTCAAGTAAAAATCTCTAAACCCCCTTGTACGTTTGCCTTGCACAAAACAATTTTCACAAAGATATTTTTCAAAGAAAAATAACAAGCAAGTGCCTAAAGTGTACAATTAATCAATACTTGAAAACATAAATGGCAAGAAAACATAGATTGCTTGAAAACTTAAATTGCTGAAAACATAAATTGCTTAAAACATAAATTGCATGAAATCTTAAAGACAAGAAAACATAAACTAGGCGTTGAAAGCAATTAAACCTATGTGAGAGCTTAAAAGGCACCAAAGACCTTCAAGGACCCTCTCACAAGTACTACACGGTTTTACTGTTAGAACACTTAAGGAGAGATGGAGATACACCAAAGGCACTCCAAGAAACTCCTTAATAAAGGCCTTGTACAAAAATGGAGAATTAAAAATTTACAAGAAAAATGAAATGCAAATTTACACCAAATGAAATGCAAATTCACACTTAAATGAAATGTAAATTCACACCAGATGAAATGTAAATTCACAATCAAATGAAATTAGTGGCTGCACTTAATTTCAAAGAAAACAAATTAGCCACTAATTAGAAACAAATTTTAGAAACGGATTTTGTAAGGAAAAATAGGTTTAGTAACAAAAATTTCCGTCACTAAAATTGGTCTCTAAAGTTCACAAAATTTTCAAAATTTTGTTGCTCCTTCTCTTCCAATTTCAGCCACCAAGCATGCAGCCCTCACAAGTGTATCACTCTTCTTTTAGAAGCAACCTTGACTTTGGTTACTTCTAGGTTTTTGCAAGAGACCTTCCACCAAGAGAGAACAAGCTCCCTAAGCAACCACCAAAGCCTTCAAGTTGACTTCCTTTGACTTGGCCTCCTACACCTTTTAAGAAGCACTCAACCACCTTCAATTGCTGGAATATTAGTGCTAAAACTGAAAAGGCACAATTTATAATGGCTACACCAATTGGTAGAATGAAATGAGACAAACTAGAAGGAGTTCCACAAAAAAGACAAGCAAATATTAAGGCAAATTTAGAAAGCTAGCACACAAAGGATAACCTATCAAAGGCACTAGAATGGATTACAAAAACAAAGCTAAGATTAGAAACAAAATTAAGACACAAAATATGTGGCTGGACTGAAAATTAATAGGCAAAGATTTCACCAAAACCGAGATCTAATTCACACAAATTTTTCACTCATTTTTACTTTTTCTTTTGCTATTTTCTTTCTTTTCTTTTTGCAAAATATTTTTCACTTCTTTTTCTTTGATTAATCAGGATTTTAAATGCCTTTTGAACAATTATAGGTCTCGGACTTAGGCTAGAAAAACTGCAGCAAAAATATTTTCACAAAACAAGAGGTGTTCACAAGCATGTTTTCACTAGTGCTTCACAATTTTATAGTATTTTTAAGTCAAATTTTTAGGCACTATTTTCTTTTATTTTTCTCATGAATTTGTAACACATACACCTCTGTTTTGCCTCTGTTTCTAATGTATAAAAATTGTTAAAAGTTTCAGCCACACAATAAGACTCAAGGAAACCTAATAGGAAGTAGTGTTTAGTAATTTTTTTTGACAAAACTTTTAACAAGACATAATAGAAACCTAACTCTAGGAAATTTGCCAGAACTAATAGCAAATTATGAATACAAATATGTAAAACAAAAGCACATATAGGTAAGGTTCAGATTCAATAAGAAAATACACAAAAATTTTCGGACATAAACAACACAAAAAATTAGGTCAACAAGCTAGTCTAGGAATTTTCAACATGAAAAGGACTACACGTGACTTCTATGACAAAACAATTGATTCAAAAATAAAACTAATGCAATGTGAATGAAGTCCAATCACGAACACATGTTATAGAATGGAGAGACTCAAACAAAATCAAAACGCACAAGTATAGGAACCTAAAGCACAAAACAATTGATTCACGGATTAATAGAAACAAGCAAAAACATGAATCAATTTTATCTTATGTGACATATAGGATCTATCAAAAAATTTTAGAAAATTTAGATCCATGCAGCAAACACATATTTATACAAAGGAGAAGGAAAAAACAACACGGATTCAACAAGAAAAGTTAGAACACAAAATCTCAAGAGCACTAGGCTCTAGATACCAAAACTGATGGAACTACTTGGAGAAGATTGATGTTTCTTCCAAGTTCTCTATGCAAGGACCGAAATGTTCTTGAGGTTGAACTCCTTGAGGTGGCAGAATCACCTTGGAGGATTCTCCAATGGTGGAGAAGCAATGTAGTAGGTTCGATTACTTCCTAGCTTATGAAGGAAGCTTGAGGAACCAAGGCCAAAGGCTGAAAACCTTTGGTGAGAACCTTAGAGAGAAAATTATCTTCGGTTTTAGGAGAGACTTTTGGGAGAGAAATCTGAAGTTTTATTTCTCAAATATTCAAAAGTGATTACAAGAGAGGGATTTACAAATATATAGGGAGAGGTAGTTTCTAGGAGAAGCTAACCTTAACCATGGTTCACTAGGAACCATGGTAAGGTGTAGCTAACCATCCATGGTTTATAAAACTTGTAGGAGAAGCTAACCTTGACCATGGTTCACTTAAGAACCATGGTAAGGTTAGCCTAACCTACCAAGGTTTAGAAACTTGGAGGAGAAGCTTCAAAACTTGAAGGAGAACTTAGTGAATTTCGGCCAAGAACAAGGAAGGAGGCTAGGCGGCCAAGGCTCCAAAATGCTCCATGATTTAATTCAAAAATATTTGATTTGGTTTAGTTAGGTTCATCATATGATGATGAGACCTAGCTAAATCAAATCTATGAAAAATTAGGAGCAAAATGAGTCTAATATGCAAAATTTTGCCTAGGCCCAATTCTAGCCCAATTACTAGTCACTCCCTCAAGCATTGCTAAATGTCACCCTTTTTTCCCTACTGAAAAAATACAAAATGAATGTATCAACTAGGGAGGTTAAATGGAGTTAAACTCTCCAAGTAACCCACCCTAAAAACAATATACAATCACTAATAAAAGCAAGTAAAGTGCCTCACAAATACAAAGGCAAAAATAAGCCTATACAAAAAAACTACTATATGTACAAACATATGAAAAAGGTCTTTAAGATCATCCCATTCCTCTTGGTTCTTTTAAGATATCACCTCTTGGATTCCTTGGCCTTGGCCATAGTCTATCAAAAGGTTCCTTAATTTTTGTTCTTCTGAATCAAATAAAACAATGTGGCTGGGCAGAGACATGTTTTTTTGCATATTCAGACACAAAAGGAACAGGGTTCATCAAGAAACGGTCAGACTCATCAAGAACTCCTTTCTCTTCACTGTTGAACAAGATTCATTAACATGAATTATGAACTTAATGAAGTCCCATTTAAGATTAGAAGCTATAGCAGAATTGTATATTCCAAACCTTGACGTGCAATCCAGAAATTGCATTGACAGGTTATGATGCAACATTGAATAGTAGGGAGTGGCATGGCATGGCGTTAGGAATATGATGCTTTTCAATTTCCCATGAAGAGCTTCTCTAGCAAGGTGGTTCATGACATCCTCAAGTCCTCTCTGTTAGAAAACAAAGAATATATTAAATATTTATTCTAGGTTCTTACAGAAGTTTTTTTTGCTCAACTCTTGATATAAAAAGGACTGGAGATAATAATATATAAACAAATCAAATCAGAACAAAACAATAACAAGAAAATTAATAATTTCTATATCCTAAAAAAGTGTATGCCGAACAAGAGTAACAAACCCAAACTTGAAAACGTAGCCAATCCGGCTCAACCCATTGCAAATTGGTGTATCAAACTACCAACCATGTGTCAAAGTTCCATTAACTCCATTAATAACACGTTCAAAACCCATGGCAAATCAGCCTTTGCTTGTACAAAGATCCAAATACGCTCATCAAAAATACCATTTCAATATAGATGGTGATACCACGGAATCAATTATGATAAACCATATCTCGCAACAAACACGCCAACTTATCAAAATAAATTTAACTTCACAAAATTAAACAAATAATGCTACCAATCATCTCAGGCACAATGATCATGTTACGGAGGTGGGTGCGGACTGGTTCTGGCTTCTCACCTGCACCTGGTGGAGCTTCCCTTTTCTGTGACCAATCAAAAAGATTTATCAAACAAATAATTCAATTTAATTCCAGAAAATATACCTCACAATAAGCAAATATCAACAATCCATCAGAATACACTTGCATTCAAATAAATAATAATCAGCAGATATGCACTCCTAAACAATAAATTAAAACCTCAAATCTTTTAGAGTGAAACTCTAACAAGCCCATTAGAGATTCTAACCCTCTTTCCCCTTCATAAAAAGTACATTTCACACACTATCCTGGCCATTGCTCTCAACTATATCAATTTACAATGCTTCAATCCAATCTTAATCCCAATACTCAATTTTCTTGACCTAATACCCACTTTAATTAATAAAGAATGTCCTACTAAAAATTAAATTATGCATTTTACTAATAAAACATATCACATAAAATCGTGTCCACACAAATCGACGTAGTACAATGATCAATTGGAAGTATAATACAGAAATCAGTAACCATAGCCCATAGGCGAAAAGAGGATAGAAAATAGTACCCCTTTGCGAAGCTTCTTAATCAAGGCCATGGGCTTTCTGGTGATACCTCTCTAGAACCTTCTGCGAGCGTGAGCACTGAAGAGCTTCACGAGTTCATCAGTGGACATGTCGAGAAGTGCGTCGAGATCGACGCCCCTTAAACTGAACTTCTTGAACTTCCTCTTCTTGGGTTGACCTCTTGCCGCGACATCGACCTCGTCTGGGAGAGGGACGGGGAGTAAGCGAGAGTGGGGGAGTGAGCGAGTGAGGGAACGGATAAATAATCTAAGAATAAGATTTTTATTTTTGATTTTTATTCTTTTAAAAATAATATAAAAAAATGTCATTCTTTTGAACCGTTAAGAATGAAAAATATCATTCTTTTGTGACGATAGCTAGAAATATAATACTAAAACCGCCAAAAAAAACTCGGATGAGTACTCTTAATATTTTACTAATAAAAATTGTTTCTCTTTTTTACTTATAATTATTTTAATTAATTAATTATTTATAAAAAGCAAGATATTAAATGCATTATCATTAAATTCATATAAAAGATTTATATAATTTTAAAATTAGACTGATATCTATCATCAACGAATTTAATAGGTACTGAAATGACATTCTTATTAACAAATATTTTTGACTTTTCCAAATTCTAGATTTTATTTATCTTTTTCAAACAATAAATATTACCATTTAGAAAGCTTTAATATACTGCAAGAGTTTGGTTGATTTTGTAATTATGTTTAATTATTTTTTTATCTTTATAATTTCACAAACTTTATTTTTTAATCCATATTTAGAAATATTATATTTTAATATATATATATATATATATATATATATATATATATATTACAGGGACAAAGGAAAAGTTTTGCAACTTTAAGAACTTGAAAAAGAAATATGAAGATTAAAAAAAGAGTTTATTCAATTACATGAACTAAAGGGGAAAAAAATTGATATCTATAAAGATTAAAATAAAAAAATTTTAATTATAAAAACTAAAAGATAAATTTTACAAAATTATAAAAATTAAAAAGATAATTAAACTTTACATATATAAAGAAATACATACATCTTAATTTTGCCAAAAATGAACATAATAGTATTCGAGTAGTGCCTTAGTTTCTTTTAAACTAATATATGTGCAATGTATTGTTTTGTTTAGGGAAATGAGCTATAGGGATTATAAACTTGATGAATCTTTTGATGGTCTTATCAATCCATTTATGTCTATGTACTTTGGTGCTGCCTATGTAGCATGGTTATCGAAATATGAAGGAAGGTATGCGTAATATGATCATTATACTACAAGAAAATTGTCATAGAGTGATACACACTTTATAGTGATACAATATGTATCACTAAAAATTATTTTTACCCATATAATATATATAATATATGTTGGTATATTATTAAAAAGTGTCAATATAAACTATAGTGATATACAAAATATGTTGTTAAATTTCATTCAAAATCAACACTAAAATTGTATGTAGCTATATAGCAAATAGATATATACTTACATATATTGTACCTATAATGACACTACATATATGTCACTATATGTAACATTTCTTGTAGTGTTAGTATTTTTCTTTCTGAATAAAATTTCCGAACTTTACAAATATTTTTCACTTTTAATCAGTTAAATGCATTTATGCCATTCCATGGCCATGTGCTATTCCAATCCCTCTATGGTTGTTGGGAAAAATAACCAGAATAATAACAATTAAGTGGAAGCAAAATTGAATATCCTATATAAATAATAATAATAGGCTCTAGAAGCAACAAGATAATTTCAGCAAGATGCATAAAATTTTTAACGTGGGAAAACCTTCCATAAGAGGTAAAAATCCCCGAGATCTAATCTAGTAAAAACTCCACTAATAATAATCAATGGGTATACCACAAGTCCTCCTGGAATGACAAGGGATCACTAGAAATAGCTCTTCACCAATATGGTGGATAACAACACAAGAAAACTCTCAAATAGGTATCTAACCAAACAATAGAGAAAACCAAAATACATAGAAATTGGTACCAAACACTTCTTCTCCAATGTTGGTTGCTCCACTCTTTCTCACAGAATTTTTCTTCTTCTCTCTATTTCAAAAGAGGCACAATGCAGGAAGATGCATGTTTCTTTGATTTCTCCTCCTTCTAAAAGGTTGATCTCACATACCAAGAGTCACTACACCTGATGTTAATACAATTAACATATTAGACTTTTTATTTTTATTTTTTATTTTTAAATCAATATGAGCCCAAAGACCCACTTGACAAATCTCCCCTTCACCAATTAATTAGTGCCATAGTCAACCAAACCCACCTTCTTTTTGCAAACAACAAACTTTACTGTAGGTAAGGTCTTTGTCATCAAATCTTAGCCATTTTCTTTAGTATGAATTTTCTCCAATGATAATTGCTTCATCTCCAACACACGTATCTAATGATATCAAACCTCAATATGCTTTGACCTTGAATGAAAAGTCAAGTTCCTATTGAGATGGATTGCACTTTGACTATCACAATACAAAACATGTTTTTCTTGTGAAAGTCCTAACTCTTGTAGGAATTTTCACATCCATAAGAGCTTCTGTTATAACAATATATTCTACCTTTGTAGAAGATAGAGCAACACATTTTTGCAGTCTAGATTGCCATGACACTGCTCCCCCTGCAAAAGTAATTATATAACTAGAAGTAGACTTCCTAGAATCTACATCACCAACCATGTCTGCATCTGTGTAACCATTTAATAGAGACTCACCACTTCCAAAACACAAACAGACTCTAGAAGTACCTCTAAGATGCCTAAGTATCCATTTCACAGCTTGCCAATGATCTTTACATGGATTAGAGAGAAAATGACTAATTATGCCAATAACATGAGCAATATTTGGTCTTGTACATACCATTTCATACATCAAGCTACCAATTGCAAATGCATATAGAATCTTTTGCATTTCTTCTTTATCTTTCTCACTTGTAGGACATTGCTTAGAGCTTAATTTGAAGTGACTTGCAAGTGGAGTACTAATAGACTTGGAATTGTCCATACTAAATCTATACAATACCTTCTCAATGTACTTTTGTTATGATAACCATAATTTGCCATTCTTCCTATCATGGATAATCTTCATGCCAAGAATTTGCCTTATAGGACCCAAATCCTTCATTGCAAAGGACTTGTTCAATTCTCTTTTGAGATTTTGAATTTCTCTTATGTCATGACCAACAATCAACATGTCATCCACATAAAGCAAGAGAGTAATAAATTTACCATCCAAAAATTTCTTCACAAACACACAGTGATCAGAAGAGGTTTTGTCATACCCATGATTCATCATGAAGGAATCAAATTTCTTATACCATTGCCTTGAAGCTTGTTTGAGCCCATACAAGCTCTTCTTTAATTCGCAGACAAGCTTATCTTTTCCCTTAACAACAAAACCTTCAAGTTGCTCCATATAAATTTCTTCCTCCAAGTCACCATGGAGGAAAGCGGTCTTCATATCAAGTTGTTCAACCTCCAAGTTTAAATTAGCTGCTAGGCCAAGCACAACTCTAATTGAAGACATCTTGACCACATGTGAAAATATTTCTTCAAAATCAACTCTTGTCTTCTAATTGAAACCTTGACAACAAAGCTTGCCTTGTACCTTGGTTGTGAGAAATTATCCTCTGATTTCAACTTGAACACCCACTTATTTTTGAGTGCTCTCTTACCTTGGGCCAACTTCACCTACTCAAATGTATGATTCTCATGTAAGGATTTCATCTCCTCTTGCATGGTTATATACCATTTATCCTTTCCTTCATGTGACATAGATTCTTCATAGCTCTTTGGCTCTCCACCATCAATTAACAACAGATACTCAAGTGGGGAATATTTTTGTGAAGGACGAGACTCACTAGTAGATCTTCTCAACTGTAACACTATAGGTGGTTCATGAGGAACAAACTCTACTTGTTCATTAATTTGTGACTCTGGCACATTAATTATATTCTCCACATTTTCATTCGCATATCCTCCATTATTAGTGGCCTTGGCAGGAGGTTCTAGCTCAACATTAATGTCCTCGCGAGTAATCTATTTTGGCTTCTTCTTGTTGTTAATATCTTCTATGGTTTGGTCTTTAAGAAAAACAACATCTCAGCTTCTAACAATCTTCTTATCAATCGGATCCTAAAACCTGTAACCAAAATCATCTCGACCATAACCCAAGAAAACACATTGTTTAAACTCACTATCAAGCTTGGTTCTTTCATCTTTAAGGATATGAACAAATGCCTTGCAACCAAACACCTTCAAGTGACTATAGGAGACATTTTTCCCGCTCTACACCCTCTCTAGAACATCACTATCAAGAGGAACAAAGGGAGAAAGGTTGATCAAGTCCACTACAGTTCTCAAAGCTTCACCCCAGAAGGCTTTAGGTAATTTGGCAAGAGAAAGCATGAATCTAATTCTATCATTAATTGTGCAGTTCATTCTCTTTGCAACCCCATTGTGTTGAGGGGTCTTTGGAACTGTCTTCTCAAGCTTGATACCATGGTCCTTGCAATAGTGCTCAAATGGACCCCTATATTCACCACCATTATCTACTTTAACACACTTCAACAATTTGCCTATTTCTCTTTCAACACTTGCATGAAAGTGTTTGAACACATCAAGTGTGACACCCTTACTACCCTCAACACATATATAAATAAATCTTGTAAATAAACTAAAGAATAAAATATTTAACATTAGTAAAAGGGTTCACATAAAACCTTCATAAATAACCAAAATAATTAAAAATGAAATTTTGAAAGTAAAACTTGAGAGTTTACAAATTGCTTTCAAAAGATAAGTTATAACTCTAAATACATATAAAAATTTATCCTAGAATTCTCTACCCCGATGTCACAATATTAGAGCACACCCACAACTCAACGGTTGACATTCTAGATGCCACTCAAAGCCGGATCTTCCTCACCTAAAACATCCACAAATTGTACGGTGAGAAAAGAAAACATTTATATATAAAGCACACAAGGAAATCCACAACATCATCTCATCATAACTTGAAATGTTATTTACAAGCATTTTTATAGATATATCATCATTCTATCAATCATTCATCTTCACATCTCAATTCACAATTACACCAATCCATCACAATCCACACAAATATTACAATTAACACTATGTCAAGGCCACGCCACATCTGACACAAGTGATACGGGTTAATTGTCTCACTCATCCCACACCATGCCAGGGGAACGCTCGTCCTTGTAGAATCAC